GTGCTAGTGACACCCCTGCTTTTCATTGGGGGATGTTGCATCGTCTGCCAAGCTTTTCCTTTCTTAGTGAGTGATTTTCGTGTGCAAGTTCCGTACTAGTCCCTCTAGGATTTTCCAGGTGTATATAATCATGTATCTCTCCCGCCTGCGTTCCAGGGAAAACAGGTTCAGGAACCTCAAGCGCTCCCAGTAATTGAGGTGTTTTATCTCCGTTATGCGCGCCGTGAAGGTTCTCTGTACATTTTCTAGGTCAGCAATTTCACCTGCCTTGAAAGGTGCTGTTAGTGTGCAGCAATATTCCAGCCTAGATAGAACAAGTGACCTGAAGAGTGTCATCATGGGCTTGGCATCCCTAGTTTTAAAGGTTCTCATTATCCATCCTGTCATTTTTCTAGCAGATGCGATTGATACAATGTTATGGTCCTTGAAGGTGATATCCTCCGACATGATCACTCCCATGTCTTTGACGTTGGTGTTTCGCTCTATTTTGTGGCCAGAATTTGTTTTGTACTCTGATGAAGATTTAATTTCCTCGTGTTTACCATATCTGAGTAATTGAAATTTCTCATCGTTGAACTTCATATTGTTTTCTGCAGCCCACTGATAGATTTGGTTGATGTCCGCCTTGAACCTTTCAGTGTCTGCAATGGAAGACACTGTCATGCAGATTCGGGTGTCATCTGCAAAGGAAGACACGGTGCTATGGCTGACATCCTTGTCTATGTCAGATATGAGGATGAGGAACAAGATGGGAGCGAGTACTGTGCCTTGTGGAACAGAGCTTTTCACCGTAGCCGCCTCGGACTTTACTCTGTTGACTACTACTCTCTGTGTTCTGTTAGTGAGAAAATTATAGATCTATCGACCGACTTTTCCTGTTATTCCTTTAGCACGCATTTTGTGCGCTATTACGCCATGGTCACACTTGTCGAAGGCTTTTGCAGTCTGTATATATTACATCTGCATTCTTTTTATCTTCTAGTGCATCTAGGGCCTTGTCGTAGTGATCCAATAGTTGAGACTGACAGGAGCGACCTGTTCTAAACCCATGTTGCCCTGGGTTGTGTAACTGATGGGTTTCTGGATGGTGGTGATCTTGCTTCTTAGGACCCTTTCAAAGATTTTTATGATATGGGATGTTAGTGCTATCGGTCTGTAGTTCTTTGCTGTTGCTTTATTGCCCCCTTTGTGGAGTGGGGCTGTCTGTTGTTTTTAGTAACTGTGGGACGACCCCCGTCTCCATGCTCCCTCTCCATAGGATGAAAAAGGCTCGTGATAGGGGCTTCTTGCAGTTCTTGATGAACACGGAGTTCCATGAGTCTGGCCCTGGAGCAGAGTGCATGGGCATGTCATTTATCGCCTGTTCGAAGTCATTTGGCGTCAGGATAACATCGGATAGGCTTGTGTTAACCAAATTCTGTGGCTCTCTGATAAAAAATTCATTTTGATCTTCGACTCTCAGTCTGGTTAGCGGCTTGCTAAAAACTGAGTCATATTGGGACTTGAGTAGCTCACTCATTTCCTTGCTGTCATCTGTGTAGGACCCATCTTGTTTAAGTAAGGGCCCAATACTGGACGTTGTTCTCGACTTTGATTTGGCATAGGAGAAGAAATACTTTGGGTTTCTTTCGATTTAATTTATGGCTTTTAGTTCTTCCCGCGATTCCTGACTCCTATAAGATTCCTTTAGCTTAAGTTCGATGTTTGCTATTTCTCTGACCAGTGTCTCCCTACGCATTTCAGATATATTGACCTCTTTTAGCCACTTTGTTATTCTTTTCCGTCGCCTGTAAAGGGAGCGCCTGTCTCTTTCTATTTTACATCTACTCCTCCTTTTTCTTAGAGGAATAAGCCTTGTGCATACATCGAGTGCCACCAAGTTAATCTGTTCTAGGCATAAGTTGGGGTCTGTGTTGCTTAGTATATCTTCCCAGCTTATATCGGTTAGGACTTGGTTTACTTGGTCCCACTTTGTTTTTGTTATTGAAGTTGAATTTGGTGAATGCTCCCTCGTGACTAATCTCATTATGTCGGTCTGGGGCTCCACGCATACAAGTCTGAACCTCAATTATGTTGTGATCTGAGTATATTGTTTTTGATATGGTGACATTTCTTATCAGATCATCATTGTTAGTGAAGATGAGGTCTAGTGTATTCTCCATTCTAGTAGGCTCTATTATTTGCTGGTTTAAATTGAATTTTGTGCAGAGATTTAAAAGCTCGTGTGAGTGTGAGTTTTCATCAGAGCTGCCTCCAGGTGTTATTACTGCAACAATATTATTTGCTATATTCCTCCATTTTAGGTGCCTTAAGTTGAAATCCTCCAGGAGCAAGATGTTGGGTGCAGGAGCTGGAAGATTTTCCAGACAGTGGTCAATTTTTAACAGCTGTTCCTGGAATTGCTGGGATGTTGCATCCGGAGGCTTGTAGACTACCACAATGACTAGGTTATGGTTGGGGAGGGAGGAGGGGGAGGTGGGGTTTTTAAAAGGTTAGTGGCCTATCCACTTTGGTGTAATTTGAATACGCGTGTGTGTATATTATTATTATTATAATCAAAAAGAAGCGCTAAGCCAGTGTGTGTATATTGAGTAATTCATAAAGAGGTTGGTTTTATGAGAGAGGTATACCTCCTGCCCATCAATTGCACACTGCTATATTGTCTGTATACCATTGCGTCATTGAATTGGAAGGATGCATACTGCTTGCAATTGCTTTTTTTCGCAAGAGGTTGGTCAGAAGGCCGCAGCTGCAGGTGGTAGTTGCAGGTCATTTTATGGAGGTTGGTTGCTTACCTGGAGTTGGCTGGCTAAGCAGTGACTGAGGTGGTGTCCTGCTGGAGGATAGTTGTAGGTGTAACAAGGTTAGTTGTGAGGTGTTGGTTGATAGAAGTGGGTCACCCGGAAATGGGGAGCGTTAGTCCGTGTTACTGGACATAGAATGATTCGGTGTTAGGTTAGATTAGGTTAGATTATGGTTAGGTTAGGTTAGATTAGGTCAGATTCAGTAAGATCTTGTTCCTCATCCTCATATCCGACATAGACAAGGATGTCAGCCACAGCACCGTGTCTTCCTTTGCAGATGACACCCGAATCTGCATGACAGTGTCTTCCATTGCAGACACTGCAAGGCTCCAGGCAGACATCAACCAAATCTTTCAGTGGGCTGCAGAAAACAATATGAAGTTCAACGATGAGAAATTTCAATTACTCAGATATGGTAAACACGAGGAAATTAAATCTTCATCAGAGTACAAAACAAATTCTGGCCACAAAATAGAGCGAAACACCAACGTCAAAGACCTGGGAGTGATCATGTCGGAGGATCTCACCTTCAAGGACCATAACATTGTATCAATCGCATCTGCTAGAAAAATGACAGGATGGATAATGAGAACCTTCAAAAATAGGGAGGCCAAGCCCATGATGACACTCTTCAGGTCACTTGTTCTATCTAGGCTGGAATATTGCTGCACACTAACTGCACCTTTCAAGGCAGGTGAAATTGCTGACCTAGAAAATGTACAAGAACCTTCACGGCGCGCATAACGGAGATAAAACACCTCAATTACTGGGAGCGCTTGAGGTTCCTAAACCTGTATTCCCTGGAACGCAGGCGGGAGAGATACATGATTATATACACCTGGAAAATCCTAGAGGGACTAGTACCGAACTTGCACACGAAAATCACTCACTACGAAAGCAAAAGACTTGGCAGACGATGCAATATCCCCCCAATGAAAAGCAGGGGTGTCACTAGCACGTTAAGAGACCATACAATAAGTGTCAGGGGCCCGAGACTGTTCAACTGCCTCCCAGCATACATAAGGGGGATTACCAACAGACCCCCGGCTGTCTTCAAGCTGGCACTGGACAAGCACCTAAAGTCGGTTCCTGACCAGCCGGGCTGTGGCTCGTACGTTGGTTTGCGTGCAGCCAGCAGCAACAGCCTGGTTGATCAGGCTCTGATCCACCAGGAGGCCTGGTCACAGACCGGGCCGCGGGGGCGTTGACCCCCGGAACTCTCTCCAGGTAAACTCCAGGTAAACAAGACAAGCGTTTACCGACGCGGGTCTTAGTTATTTATTAATATGCGAGTCTAATTTTGTACGTGATATGATACACATGGTGTCGAGTCTAGTAAAACCTGGCTTGTTAAACTGGTCCCTTGTAACGCGGTTTCTGACCATCACTATTTTCTGAAGCTTGGGTATTACTTGAGCCACTGTAATGTTTTTCTGGACTGATTACATCGACTCCAGGCTGAGGGACTGATTGCCTTAAACTCATTCTGGTCTTCACCATTCCTCTTTGTTTAGGACTGATAAAGCCACTTGTCGGTTCTCTGGACTATTTATCTACATTGTTTTCCTCTCATCGCTGCCGGTTCCTGTAGATTTTCCGTTACTCTCTTGTATGGCACAGTGTTGAATCCCTTCCTGCGGGCCAATAACATGCTTTAATTCTCTTTATCCGTCAGTTCGAACAAGTTTGTAAAACTGGATTTGCTGTTTCTAAAACCTTGCTTCTTGTTTATGAAGTCAGTTTTCTCCAGGTGTTCCAGCACTGTCCTCTGTTTATTTTCTCTTTTACACTAGTTAGTATGCATGTCAAGGCCGACAACTGTAGTACAACGTTTTCTGTTTCTCTCTCTCTCTCTCTCTCTCTCTCTCTCTCTCTCTCCGTACTCACCTATTTGTGGTTCCAGGGGTATATTCGTAGCTCCTGGTCCCGAGTCGTGTGTGTGTGTGTGTGTGTATGTGTGTGTATGTGTGTGTGAGTACATATCGATAAGTACTCGCCAATTTGCACTCGCTAAATGTTCATTACTAGTTCACTACACGTTCCCTCCAACCTCATCACCAGTTTACCACATTTTTTAACACCTGTTGACCATGTTTTTGACATCTGTCCACCACATGTTCGTCACCTATTCAAATGTTCACCACCTGTTCTTCACGTGTTCACCACAGATCAATAACACAGTTCTCTCTTCCACAGGATGCTGACAGATATCCTGTTACTGCCATCAAATACACCAATGAGGAGAAAAAGGTAAATATATATATATATATTTTATATATATATTATATATATATATATATATATAATATATATATATATATATATATATATAATATATGCAATAAGATCACAGTAAACAGGTGATTTCAGAATATGCAAAACAACCACTTTGAAAGAATAGAGAAATTCCAAGCGCTTTCGTGACTACTCACATTATGTATATATATATATATATATTTATATATATATATATATAAAGGGGTCCACCTCTGGTGTAAATTGTGGGACCCACAGCCTCGGAGAAGTGGATAAAAAGGCTTCAAGGAAGAATATTTGGATTTCTTCCTGAAGCCGTTTGAATATTCCACTTCCCCTACCACCCCATCTTTTCATATTTTTTTTTTACCAATAGGAATATTTTATTACATAATATGGTACAGAAGATTTAAGAGATACATTGTTGATATAAAGGTGGCACATAAGGTACATGTTGTTACGTGTGTATCACCGATTATAAGGCGAAAATCTCATCCAGCGCCTCAGAGCTGGGGCGTGTGCCCAAAATACAGCAGGCATTAGTTTTGCCCACGCCTCCGAAATTCCAGGGTTGATATGTGCTTCCGGTGATATGCCTGGTGGGATGTCCACTCCCACACCTTTCTCCGTGACACACCTCCCTTACCTACTTACCTGGAGTCTACCTGGAAGGTGTCAATAATGTCGCCTTTTCCGAACCACCTGTAAACCTTACTTTACTGAAATAAACCATAATAACACAATTGCAAACACACCAAGGAACGGGTGGGGTTAGAACCCATGAAGTTTTACGACTCGCTAGCCATGGGATCAAATCCCACCCGTTCCGTGGTTTATTTTTACTGAAATTAATGTTTATCATTAAAGGACCCCAATGGGAATAAGTCACTTTGTCCCAATAGAAATAAGTCACTTTGACTTTTTTGGGTTATCCCAGGTTCTCTACACATATGCTGCTATATATGATAATCTATGTAACTGTATTTGTGTATACCTGAATAAATTTACTTAATTTACGACAGAGTGGCGGAGGTGTGGAGAACCCGACCTTCGAGGACCCCAGCAACATTGAGGACGGTCCCCACATCTCCAAGGTCGTCGGGGTAAGTATTCATTTGATATTTGGAGACCTGTATTGTTGCTCTCATTCTTCTCACGTTGTGTTCTCGGTACTACGACTTCCTTCGATTCTGACGCCTAAATAAAGAACCAAAAGGAACAATACCGTGACGGGAACAATACACAAATACCTCGCACATAAGAGAGAGAAGCTTACCACGACGAGTCACAAGCTTCTTTCTCCTAATGTGCGGGTTATTAGTGCATAATGCTTAAATGTTTAGTAAATGCTTCGATTTCTTGGTACTCTTTATTATTCACGCTTTCGTTTTTATTTTATTTTCTGGTTTTTGTGTCCATTGGTTCTAGTCCTACCGTCCTTAGGATGGATATGGGGCGTACTAGAAACTAACAGCTTCAGCGGCAAAATCTAAAAATTTAAATCTGTCCTCGTTAGTTAAATGTATTTTAAGTATAGCGACCACAGGAGGGTGATTAAGTCTGCATAGAACCTGAACACTTCCAGTCACGAATGTATTAATGCCTAAATTATGGATCTCTCTCTCTCTCTCTCTCTCTCTCTCTCTCTCTCTCTCTCTATCTATCTATCTATCTCTCTCTCTCTCTCTCTCTCTTACACAGGGTTTGACAATGTTAGGTTAAAGATCCCTAGCTTTATTGAAATTGGAGCAATATGTGGGCCAGCATTTTCATTTGATCAACTGACTTTATCTCGTTGACATCATAATGCTGTACGAATGTGTTCCATACTCGAGTCATCCTGGGTATAAATGATCTCAGATGAAGTGATGTTCTGGAGAAGAGTACAGCCAGAGTGAAGTTGCTGCTTTCTGTCCATCTTGTAGTACAGAAGCTTGGTTCTCGCTGTCCTCGAAGTGGAGCCAAGAGTAGTACTTTGACAATATTGGCCTTGTACATAACAGTAAGGCCACCCACATCCCTCCTGTATTGAAGGCTCTGCTGAAATGACAGATCTATCCAGGATGGATCCAGGCAAGAAACGAGACGTCGTGCTCTGTTCTCTACTCTGTCAAGCAGTCGCGGATGAGGAGGGGGGGGGGGGCAGGCAAGCCAAGAAAGTGGAGCATACTCAAGGTGTAAGCGTACTTGTGCTTAATACAGAATCTTGTAACCCTACTGTCAAGCAGACGCGAGATACGTCAAAGTGTTGTAAGCTTCCTGGCTGCCTTGTTTGCAAGATTTACAACGTGGTTCTTCATGGTCAGTTTGGAGTTAAATTTCACCCCAAGGATATCAACTTCTTTCCCAGGTACCAACACCCTCCCATTCATACTTACTACTACTCCGGCATTACCATCATGGTGCCTAGAGACCATCATCATTTGTGTTATCTCAGGTGCAAATGTTACTTGCCATCGGTTTGCCCCAGCTGATATAGCTCTTAGCTGGTGATTGATGTAGCTTAGAGCAGCTGGCATTTCTTCTCTTGAATAAGTAAATGTCAGAGTACAGTTGTCTTCATATGCATGGGATTCTGGGATGAGATAAAGAAGGTCATTGAAGTAGACATTCCATAACAATGGTCCCAGTACACTTCCTTGCGGTACACTTGCTCCAGTAGGATGTCTTGCTGATTCTGTTCCATTGAGAACTACCCTTAGAGATCTGCCATGAAGGTAATCACTGAGAAGACGTAGCGTAGAGCCTGCGATTCCCAGTGTTTGCAGTTTTGCTAAGAGGCCCTGGTGCCACACTCGGTCGAACGCACCAGCAATGTCCAGTGCTACCACACAATGACTTTGGATGCATCCAGGGGATGGTGCCATTTAGTGGAGAGTTTAAAAAAATCCCGCAGAAAAACCTTTCCTGAAGCCAAATTTTTGAGGCCCACAAAGTAGTGAGTTGTATTTAAAAAGCCTCTTTTGTCTTGAATTACGTCTAAAGGATCTTTCCAGTGTTGCAGGGTGACATGATTTGCTCCTTTCTTCTTTTTGTGAACGGGGGCTACATTTTCCTCTTTCCACGTGTGGCATGCAAAGAGTACGAAACCCTTTTTTCGGCGCATGAAAAAACCCCTCATTAAAAGGGCTATCCCCCCCAAACCCAAACCCAGTCAAGGTGGCGATGGGGCCCCATCGTTCGATCGTACCAGGTTCACCAGTGAGAAGAGGGTTTTTTTGGCAATCGCAGGGGGTTTTTGTGGGATCACCCGCCTGTCTAGAGGTTGAACCATCTGCTCCTATGGCGTCTATTCTGCCTTGTTACGTGGAGTCACTATACCTTTGTTGTACATAGTGTATTTGTGTAATACTTTTTTCTACTTGTGAGAAGTAAATAAGTCAAAAGCTTTTCTGTTGTGTTTATTTTCTTCCTTTACCCCCGGGGATACGGGCCCTTTGGTTTCCGGGGTTGTAATACACAGAAAAGGGCCATTTACACTGTACTAGGCAGTGCTTAAAGATGCGAGTTAGAGGTGCTGCTAGCTGGTCTGCACATCTCAGCAATCTTGGGCTCAACTTGTCTGGGCCCACAGCCTTTTCTTGGTCAAGCGATTTAAGAAGGAAATGCACCTTCTCCTGCCTTATTGTCACCACTGACAGTTTTGACACAGTTCTTGCAGCTAGCCAAGGAAGGTCCCTTGCTGGATCAGGAACTTGCATTTTGGTAGAAAAGTGTTCGGCAAAGAGATCCGCTTTCTCTTGGCTACTAGTAGAGGTGGTTCCATCCTGTTGATTTAGAGGTGGAATGAGTTCGTCAGGCAGATAACCTTGTCTGTCCTTGACCAGGGGCCACCAGGTTTTGGAACCTACTCTACCTGATGCTAGCTTTCTTTTTGCGTCCACCTCCCTTTTAGCGATGGCTCACTTTTGAACCTCACCCATATGCCTACAGGCTTGCCTGTGCAGGTTCCTGTTATAGGTGGTAGGATGTCTCTTATACCTTCGCTATGCCTTGTACTTAGCAGTAGCAGCCTCTCTACAACGAAAGCCGAACCAAGGCTGATCTGTAGGCTTCGTCACGTACTGCCGGTGAGGGATGTGTTCTTGTTGTAGATTAAGAATGTGTCCAGTGAAGGCTTTCACTTGGTTGTCAGCATCCCCTTGGAGAAGAGCATTCCAATCGGTGGTGGCGAGCTCAGAGCAAAGGCATGCCTCTTTCCCATTGCCAGGTTGTGGATGTGGACTCCTCACCTTGTTCTGTTAGGATCTTAAGTGTCGTAAAAACAGCCTTGTGGTCAGACTATTCAACATAGCCGAGGGGTTGACAAGTGACTTATACCTACTGCCAGATCAATCATTACTGGGTCAAGGGAGGAGCCAGAGATGTGAGTAGGGAAATCAACAAAGTTTCTCATGTCAAACACTGCGAGAAGGTCATCAAAGTCCCTCTGTATAAGGTGTTGGTTGAGTTCACCAACAATTATGATATGTTGACAGCTGTGTTGGAGCAGAAGGGAGTCAATATTTTCCATTAGGAAGTTGATGGGGTCTGCATGTTGCCACTGAGGTCTGTACATTGTACATGCTAGTACAGAGGTACTAGTGTTTATGCATAGCTTGAAGAACATCATTTCAAGATGAGTAGGGGTGGCAACATCAATGTGCTGGGCATGTACACTTTTAGAGAAGCACACAGCAACACCTCCTCCTTGCGAATATCAAAATGGTATACAATACCGACAGGTTGGTAGATAAGACACATAGGCAACATTTAGGCAACTTTATTCCGGAACGTTTCGCCTACACAGTAGGCTTCTTCAGTAGAGTACAGAAATGGAGCAGTAGATGTGAAGACGATGTAATCAGTCCATCACCCTTGAAGTCGTAGATTTGAGGTTGTCAGTCCCTCAGCCTGGAGAAGTTCAGTTCCATATTCTGGAACTAACTGAAGATCAAGCGACAGTCTTGAGACTTAAATACTGTCCGAAGGAGAAGTGCAGAGTAGAAGTAGTGAGAATGTAGCCACTGAGAGGTCACGTCCCTCTCAGATCAAACAATTCTCACTTGAAAAAGTTTTCCAAGGTGTTTTCTCTTCTGTACCAAGATGCCATTGTGTTGCAGTGTCTGACAGAGTGAATATCAAAATGTTATACATCTCTACTGCTCCTGCCTGTACTCGACTGAAGAAGCCTACTGTGTAGGCGAAACGTTTCGGAATAAAGTTGCCTAAATGTTGCCTATGTGTCTTACCTAGCAACCTCCTCCTTGCCCTTGCCTGTCTTCTCACCCATGAGGTGTAGCCAGCAGTTTTTGCAAAATTTTCTGGAGTCCTGTCTCTTATTTACTCTCTGTTTTTACTCAAGAGGATACAAGGGAAATCCCAGAAATCAATAAACATAATTCTCAGGACGAAAATAAATTAAGCAAGATCCAAGTAACTAGCGACACGATGCCCAGACAACTGGAAAGACTGAATCATTAAAAAGTTACAATTCTTAAGAGTTGCAAGGAGGACCTTAGAGAGCCATTATCTACGTTCTTCAACAGATCTCTGCAAATGTGCATTGTACTATTTAAGGGGGAAAAAGACAAATGTGATACCAGATTATTATAGACTAATTAATCTAATATCATTTGTGGGAAAATGGATGGAACCAATAATTGTGAATCAGTTTCAGAGTCACCTTGAAAGATATAATTTAATCAATGAATCTCAGCAGGGTTTTACAAAAGTTAAGTTCTTGCCTTCACAATAGACTTACACTTTCACGAAGGTAATGGAAGTGGTAAACCACGATTAAAAAAAATATATATAAATTTTTGGCTTCATATAAATTGTTTTTAATTCACTTGTTAAGCGCTAAATCCATATGGGTCATTCAGCGCAAGACGTAGTGGAGGCTTGATCCTCCGTCTGCTGAGCGCCAGAAAGACTTCATATCAAGGAGTATAAATAAGAGGTGTCCTGAGTTATACTTCAACTTCATATATCCTTGCTAAGACCTCATTTACATAATACTGCTCAGTTCCGGTCGCCGTAATACAGAACGGATTTCATTAAGCTGGAAAATATGTATTAGAAACCTTTCCTACGATGGTAGACTAAATCTACACTCTCATGA